ATTATTGTTAGTTAATAAGCGGGGATGTTCTGTTTATCTACAGTAGGACAGGCTTCAACGACGTAGGCTATTTGTAATGTGCCTCTTTTCCTTATTATTAATCTTTATTGTTAATCATTAAATGTATATTGATAAGAAATGTGATTTATATGTAAAGTGTATAGGCTAATTTAATTCAGTGATGTTCTACAGTGTTGTAATCTTTTGTGTTTTCTACATTTCTTTGTGGAAACCACACAAACACACACACACACACATATACACATACACATGAACGCTCTTTTCAAACAGAAGCTTGTAACGCAGATGATATCAGTCACAGCATATCATGACTTCTAAAAATTACAAATTATATATAATTTTCTTTCAAATAAAAGGAAAATTAAAAGAGTTGAATCCAAGCAGCTCTAAAAGATTTTAGAATAGTTCTGCATCCTGAAGGCGCTCCGCCTGTTTGCGGTGTTGCTTTGACCATTTAAACATGTTAATTACACAAACAAAATGTTTAGCGTACTGTCTCTGGAAATATCAACAGTTATTGATCAGCCTTTATTTTTGTATTGTAGACATTATTACTAGGCGAAGCGAAATTTGCTGACATATCCATGACATCCATCATGGGGACTTTAAGCTTGTTAGCCCCCTTTGTGTATATATAGCCTTAGTTTTTCTTTAGTTCCTTGTGAGTTGTCAAATGTAATGTTTGTCTGTTTGCCAGTCATTCTGTTCTTTGTTCCCTTTGGTTTTTGGCTTATTGTTTGTTCTAGTTGACCAATTAAATACCTAAACATAAATCCTTGCCTCTGCCTTTTCCCCCAGCTTCTCCACAACATTATAGTTTTTCACTGGCATGTCTCTTTGACTAGTGCATCTTTGAGCCTATACTTAGTATAAGTAAAATACTTAAGTACTGTTAAAATCAGATACTCTAAGACTTTTACTCAAGTTGTTTTGGAATTGGTCCACTTTACTGTACGCATTTGGGATAGAATATGAACGACCTCGTGATCGCTATAATTTGTACAGTATTGTTCATTAGGCTACTGACATTTAATTCATTCATAAATGTTAAATGCTTGAATCAATATGACTATTTTGTGTATTAAGTTCTTGCTAGATGCATGAGTTTCACCAACGCGTTCTGTGTCATAAAATAACTGCTTATTAAAACCAAGGTTGACGTCACTGTATTCTGTTTGCACCTATATCTTTATTTGTGCTTCTTTGAGGTACATTATTGTTAGTTAATAAGCGGGGATGTTCTGTTTATCTACAGTAGGACAGGCTTCAACGACGTAGGCTATTTGTAATGTGCCTCTTTTCCTTATTATTAATCTTTATTGTTAATCATTAAATGTATATTGATAAGAAATGTGATTTATATGTAAAGTGTATAGGCTAATTTAATTCAGTGATGTTCTACAGTGTTGTAATCTTTTGTGTTTTCTACATTTCTTTGTGGAAACCACACAAACACACACACACACACATATACACATACACATGAACGCTCTTTTCAAACAGAAGCTTGTAACGCAGATGATATCAGTCACAGCATATCATGACTTCTAAAAATTACAAATTATATATAATTTTCTTTCAAATAAAAGGAAAATTAAAAGAGTTGAATCCAAGCAGCTCTAAAAGATTTTAGAATAGTTCTGCATCCTGAAGGCGCTCCGCCTGTTTGCGGTGTTGCTTTGACCATTTAAACATGTTAATTACACAAACAAAATGTTTAGCGTACTGTCTCTGGAAATATCAACAGTGATTGATCAGCCTTTATTTTTGTATTGTAGACATTATTACTAGGCGAAGCGAAATTTGCTGACATATCCATGACATCCATCATGGGGACTTTAAGCTTGTTAGCCCCCTTTGTGTATATATAGCCTTAGTTTTTCTTTAGTTCCTTGTGAGTTGTCAAATGTAATGTTTGTCTGTTTGCCAGTCATTCTGTTCTTTGTTCCCTTTGGTTTTTGGCTTATTGTTTGTTCTAGTTGACCAATTAAATACCTAAACATAAATCCTTGCCTCTGCCTTTTCCCCCAGCTTCTCCACAACATTATAGTTTTTCACTGGCATGTCTCTTTGACTAGTGCATCTTTGAGCCTATACTTAGTATAAGTAAAATACTTAAGTACTGTTAAAATCAGATACTCTAAGACTTTTACTCAAGTTGTTTTGGAATTGGTGACTTGTAACGTGTAGTGGAGTAATTTTCACTGTAAGGCATCTACTTTTACTCAAGTATGGTTTTTAGGTACTCTTTACACCTCTGCTTACTTAATCTATTGGCACCAAAAAGCTTTTATACACTTCTTTTTGTGACATGTATTGTTTGAAAAATGTTGTTCTATCATAGCATGGCTATAACACCCAAAACAGCCATAACAATAACCACAATGTCACACTTGCTTTCACTGATTAAATATTGCAGGTGTTGGGCTTGCAAAAATGATGACCTGGGATCATTGTGAGAGAGTTTTGTGCTAGTTGGTTAAACAGTTGTATTCTTTTGTAAAGAACAGTTACTGTACAATTTATTGAAAATTAAAAATATTGAAATATTTTTGTGGTAAGGTCAATGAAAATATTCTGAACATGAACAAATTCTGAACTACTGGCCTGACTGGGCCAGCAACAAAACCCTTGTTACCTGTGATGGAAACACAAAATATGCAGTCAATGTTCTGTAAAATAATAATAATATTGGGAACTGTTCCTCTGTTAACTAATGTGTTGGTGTGTTTTTGCAGCCACCACTGGAGGTATGTCTGCGTATCAGATTTCCTCTCCTGCATCTGGCCTTTCCCAGGCAATGGACGGCTCACCCGGCTCTCTGCCAAGCCCTCAGCAGCTGACTGAGGAAGCATCACATAAGAGGGAACTCCGACTGGTGAAAAACAGGTATTGCCCAGCCGCCCTTCCCTATTCCAGAATTACTACTGCATTCTGTAGCCTAAGAGCATGAAATCATTATAGCAGCTGATTGCAGTCCATGTTGATGTGTTGCTTGGTCTTTTCCTCAGTTCGTTCTGTACCTGAGGCCTTACATGTTCTTCAGTTGCATCCATGTGTCTGCTTTCAACTTCTGATGAGGTCAAAGGCTTGTATTCTTTGCTTTTTGCCTATCACTGCATCATGCTTGATGATGTCTCAGTGTGTGGAGCATGTGCTAAAAGCATATTATAACAAAAATGAAATACTGTTTGTAACAAATATATTCTTGAATCCTTCCTTGTGTTTTTTTCAAGTGGTACAGTCCTTCAGAGTTTCCATTGAGACTATCAGCACAGCTTTATGTTTATCTTTAGTTTATGTTTAAATAAATTTATCTAGCTCTCCATTTTGTGGCGTTTTGTTGTTGCTTTTTATGTTGAGGGATCTGTGTTATTAATCACTGTAACTTCAAGTTCAATTCAATTCAAGTGTATTTGTATAGAGCTTTTCACAATACAAATCGTTGCAAAGCAGCTTTACAGAAAATTAAGTTTAACTGAATTTTTTTGTAATACAGAATTACTTTTAAATGTTCTCTGTGTATTTCATGTTCACTTTTAAGACACTAATAGAACTAATAGAATTGAACTAATAGAATAATGACGTCTTAGCATTTTAGCACATGAAATAGTGTATTTTGATTTCTTGCGATTACTCAAGAGGCACAAAGCAAGTCCGGTTATTAAAACATAAAACATTTAAAAAATAGTTTAGATTAACCATATGTTATGGAATTTAAGAAATAATTTCGAAATGTTCCAGATCAATTTTACAGATACAATTTAACAGCCAAAAACAAACAATCTTTGTATCTGTGTGTAGACACTCCCACTAGCTGCGGCGGTCAGAGTAGTTTCCTAATCGACTGCGCATGCGCAGTATACCGTCAGAGGGGCGACACAAGAACGGATAAAAACAGACACTTTACATTAGATTTTAGGAACTCTGTTGTTATTTCCAACAACATTTATAACAGCAGGCTTCCCAACATCGAGGAGACTGAAACACCAGGAAAAATAAACCAGACTAAACCGAAATTAGTACCACAGTTACGCAGTCAGACGCAAACTACTAACGACTCAAGGTAAGATATTCATAACGTTACTTTTAATGGCATAAAATCGAGATCCTTACCTTACAGTGTTGCTGTAGTTGATGCAATTATTTCCATAGCAATATGAGCCTAACGGCAAAACATGATGACGTCACGGTAAATAAAAATGCCTGCCATATGTTTCATAAATGCAATAGAAAAAAGGTTTTTATAATGTATTATTGAAGACTATGCTGATAGATGAGAGAAGCAGAACCTTTTCCTATTTTTGTTTGATTATACGGTACTTTTTTTGTTGTTGCGTAATTTAAGTGAATATGTTTCTGCATAGCTTAATGCTAGTAATAATAATACCAGGGTAATACCATGTTTCTTTTGGATATGTACCAGTTATTCTGGGAAGTACCTTGGAGTTTATGTACATACCATAGTACACAAATATGCTGATCATGTACAGGTACATCTCAAACAATTAGAATATCATGAAAAAGGTCAATATTTTTTGTCACTCATATCAGAAAGTGAAACCCATATATTATATAGATTCATTACACATAGAGTGAACTATTTCAAGCCTTTATTTCTTGAAATTTTGATGATTATGGCTTACAGATAATGAAAACCCAAAATTCAGTGTCTCAGAAAATTAGAATATTGTGAAAAAGTTCAATATTGGAAAGTCATGGTGTCACACCCTAATCAGCTAATTACCTCAAAACACCTGCAAAGGTTTCCTGAGCCTTTAAATGGTTTCTCAGTCTGGGTCAGTATGCTACACAATCATGGGGAAGACAGATGTCTAGAAGACAGTCATTGACACCCTCCACAAGGAGAGTAAGCCACAAAAGTTCATTGCTAAAGAAGCTGGTTGTTCACAGAGTGCTGTATACAAGCATATTCATAGAAAGTTGAGTGGAAGAAAAAGTGTGGTAGGAAAAGGTGCACCAGCAAGAATTTGGGGGAGCTTCACAAGGAGTGGACTGAGGCTGGCGTCAGCGCATCAAGAGCCACTACGCACAGACGAATCCTAGACATGGGCTACAAATGTCGCATTCCTCGTGTCAAGCCACTCCTGAACCAGAGACAACGTCAGAA